GCGTGGTTCGGAGGTTAGATGCGTACAGGCCTATGACCCAGCGGGACATAAGCTAACATACACTTGCTGCACGTCGCATAAAATGTTCAAAAATGTCAATATGTAGAAGAGCAGACATATAGATAAATCTGGCGACGCAAGAGAGAACTCAGTTTGGTCCGGTTTTCTGAGCGCAGACACTGAAGCATAGGCTACACAAAAAAATGCGTCTCACAGCGCGTGAGTACTCTCTCCAGTTGCATGAACAGAGAATTACACACAAAATAATGTCGAATTGTCCGTTTTGACGAGTATTCACGTAAACACAGTTGATTACGTCTTAAGTGACCGTAAACGTGTATCAGTACATCGCATCCATTGCAGCTGTGCTTTCGGTTTTAAAGGGACAGCAGCCTAATTTAGTTGCTATTGTCCGAGTCGTTGATGTTAATCAAGCAACAACAGAAAGACAGAAAATCACTCACTGCTCTTGACTGAAAAACTTTAGTAGCCCTAAATATGAATCAAAATTTATTTATAGAAATAAATATGTCTGCTTGAAAGAATGAAGAATATGGTAAACAAGTTGCTGTAAAGAATGCATAATTAGCCTATATAACCATTGGTATTTCATTCAAAAGAAAATCATGTTCTTGTTCTTTATGAGAAGTGGTTTTATTTAATTTTAACATAAAGGCATGTTGTGTGTCACCGAAGTTAAATCGGTGTCTATCATGAAAAAACCTTAATATCAAACCTATATAATGAGTTTGGAAATTTTAGAGAAATGCTTAATAAATGCACTACATTGTAACTAAACCCATTAGATTTTAGCCGACTAAATTTACTGTAGATTTAGTCGACTACAATCTTGTGATATTTAGTCGACTAAAACTAGGCTAAAACTAAAAACAATTCAGATGACTAAAGTATGACCAAAACTAAATGGCATTTTAGTCAAAAGACTATGACTAAAACTAAATCAAAATTTGCTGTAAAACTTAACACTGAAATCTAGGCTATCCGCTGCCGTTTTCAAAGCACAATGCAAAACTGTGACATTTCATTCACTGATGCACTTCAGTCGGCAGCGCTAAACCCGGAAGCTCATATACTTACTTGCCGGCAACCCGCCAAAATAAAAGCCTGCTGATTTTACATTTGAAGATGATGAAAATTCATCTTTAATAAAAGAAGTAAATATTTTATTATTTATAATGTTTACTATAAAATATTTGTATTTAATACTCCCTTTTTATTTTAAAATATAATAGTATTATCACACTTTATTATTTAGTTTATTCTAATATCGGTATCGGTACTCTGTATCGGCAAGTACTAAAAATAAAAGTATCGGTATCGGGCGAGTACTGGAAAAAGTGGTATCGGTGCATCCCTAGTTTTAATGGTATAATAATTAATTAATAATGCATTAAATATTTTGACCTTTTTTTTTTTTAGATTTTATTTAAAACGACATTTTTCAAACATTGCCTTAAAAATGTTATCTTTAACTGTAAAAGTTGCTAAATATATTCAGCCCACACAGACTTGTTGCTGCTGTAGTTTTGCTACTCTGAATCACTCAAAGCACAGCTCTGTTTTGACATCGGCTTGTCAGATAGTAGTTCCGTCCATTGCTACTGTTGAATCACCATCAATCATAGCAATGACTGGCAGAACAATTTAGCGGATTCACTCGCGCAATTTTTTTACACTCGGGTTTGTCCTTCTTGAAACAGCACACGTGGACGGTTGGTCCTGATATAATCAATAACTAACGACACAATCTCTTATTTACAGTACATCGTGTATGCTTTCTTTTTCTTTTGTGATAATAGGAAGATCTGTGAGCGTGTAGAACTACATAAACTTGCGAAAACAAAAATCAGATCAGAGCTAATTCTGACTAACCTATAGTAAACACCTGATGATCACAGAGATGCCTCTGATTGGCTACAATACTCAACGATGCAAAACACGTTGTAAATAGAAACGTCTGGTTTTGTAATTCGAAACCAGAGCGCACACACAAGCGTTTGAAAGCGGGTGACTTCGAGTGGGCACAGAATTGAGTTGGTACGACTGGAACTGTTAAAGGTTGAGAGCTGCTGGTTTAGGTGAACCTCAACAAATTTCTGCAGACAACTGTCAAGACTCTAAAATAGTAATATCTCAATATAACTAAAAGCAGGGTTTCTATGGGTCCTTAAAAAGTCTTAAATTTAGTTGGATCAAATTTAAGGCC